GGACAGCTGCATGTAAAGGAATGAAATTAGAACACTCCCTAACACCATACATTAAAATAAACTCCAAATGGACTAAAGACCTAAATGTAAGGCCAGACACTATAAAACTCTTAGAGGAAAACATAGGAAGAACAATCTTTGACATACATCACAGCAAGATCCTTTTTGACCCACCTCCTAGAGAAATGGAAATAAAAACAAAAATAAACAAATGGGACCTAATGAAACTTACAAAGCTTTTGCACAGCAAAGGAAACCACCAACAAGGTGAAAAGAAAACCCTCAGTGTGGAAGAAAATATTTGCAAATGAAGGAACTGACAAAGGATTAATCTCCAAAATATACAACCAGCTCATGCAGTTCAATATCTAAAAAAAAGCAACCCAATACAAAAAGGATAGAAGATCTAAATAGACATTTCTCCAAAGAAGATATACAGATTGCCAACAAACACATGAAAGGATGCTCAACATCACTAATCATTAAAGAAACGCAAATCAAAACTACAATGAGGTATCACTTCACACCAGTCATAATGGCCATCATCAAAAAAATCTACAAACAATAAATGCTGGAGAGGCTGTGGAGGAAAAGGAACCCTCTTGCACTGTTAGTGGGAATGTAAATTGATACAGCCACTACGGAGAACTGTATGGAGGTTCCTTAAAAAACTAAAAATAGACCATATGACCCAGCAATCCCACTACTGGGCCTATACCCTGAGGAAACTATAATTCAAAAAGAGTCATGGGGCTTCCCTGGTGGCGCAGTGGTTGAGAGTCCACCTGCCGATGCAGCGGACACGGGTTCATGCCCCGGTCCGGGAAGATCCCACATGCCGTGGAGCGGCTGGGCCCATGAGCCATGGCCGCTAAGCCTGCGCATCCGGAGCCTGTGCTCCGCAACGGGAGAGGCCACAACAGTGAGAGGCCCATGTACTGCAAAAAAAAAAAAAAAAGAGAGAGCCATGCACCACAATGTTCATTGCAGCACTATTTACAATAGAGCCAGGACATGGAAGCAACCTAAGTGTCCATCAACAGATGAATGGATAAAGAAGATGTGGCACATATATACAATGGAATATTACTTAGCCATAAAAAGAAACGAAATTGAGTTATTTGTAGTGAGGTGGATGAACCTAGAGTCTCTCATACAAAGTGAAATAAGTCAGAGAGAGAAAAACAAATACCATATGCTAACACATATATATGGAGTCTAAAAAAACAAAAATGGTTCTGATGAACTTAGGGGCAGAACAGGAATAAAGATGCAGAGGTATAGAATGGACTTGAAAACACGAGGATGGGGAAGGGTAAGCTGGGACGAAGTGAGAGAGTAGCACTGACATACATACACTACCAAATGTAAAATAGATAGCTAGTGGGAAGCAGCCGCATTGCACAGGGAGATCAGCTCGGTGCTTTGTGACCACCTAGACCGGTGGGATAGTGAGGGTGGGAGGGAGATGCAAGAGGGAGGGGATATGGGGATATATGTACACATATAGCTGATTCACTTTGTTATACAGCAGAAACTAAAACACTGTAAAGCAATTATACTCCAATAAAGATGTTGGAAAAAAAAAGTCAGTTGCATTCGTATATGTTAACAATGACCAATCCAAAAAGAAAATTAAGAAAATAATCCAATTTACTATAGCATCAAAAAACATAAAAATATTTAGGAATAAAATAAACCACGGAGATGAAAGATTTTAACAGAGGGAACTATAAAACATTGCTAAAAGAAATTAAACAAGATACAAATAGACGGAAAGACACCCCATGGTCATGGATTGGAAGACTTACTACTGTTAAAATGTACATAATAGCCAGTGCAATCCCTATCAAAATCCCAATGGCATTTTCTGCAGAAATAGAAAAAATACTATCATTCATATGGAATATCAAGGGCCCCCAAATTGCCAAAACAATCTTAAAAAATCAAAACAAAGTCATAGGCCTCAACCTTCCTGATTTCAAGATACATTACAGCAAAAGTAATTAAGACAGTGCTGCACTGTCATAAAGATAGATACATATGTATACCTAAAACTAATACAGTGTTATATGTGAATGATACCTAAATTTTTTTTTTTTTTTTTTGTGGTACGCGGGCCTCTCACTGTTGTGGCCTCTCCCGCTGTGGAGCACAGGCTCCGGATGCACAAGCTCATGGGCCATGGTTCACGGGCCCAGCCGCTCCGCGGCACGTGGGATCTTCCCAGACCAGGGCACGAACCTGCATCCCCTGCATCGGCAGGCGGACCCTCAACCACTGCGCCACCAGGGAAGCCCAATATCGAGATTTTTAAAAATAAAAATAAAAAATAATTTAAAAGATATATAAACCAATGGAACAGAATTGAAAACCCAGAAATAAACCCTATTATACATGGCAAAATGATTTTATACAAGAGTACCAATGGGGAAAGAACCATCTCGTCAACAAATAATGCTGAAAAAATTAGATATCCACATGCAAAGAATAAAGTTCATCCTTCCCTTACACTATGTATAAAAATTAACTCAAAATGGATCCATAACCTGAATACAAGATCTAAACCTATTAAACTGCTGGAAGAAAACACAGGGGAAAAGTGTCAGGAAATTGGATTTGGCAATGATTTCTTGGACATGACACCTAAAGCCCAAGCTTAACAAAAGCAAAAATAAACTAATGCGAGACTTCCCTGGTGGTCCAGTGGGTAAGACTCTGCGCTTCCAATGCAGAGGGCCTGGGCTCAATCCCTGTTTTGGGAACTAGATCCCACATGCATGCCACAACTAAGAGTCCACATGCCACAACTAAGAAGTCCACATGCTACAACTAAGATGTCTGCATGCCACAACCACGAAGCTTGCATGCCGCAACTAAGACCCAGTGCAGCCAAAATAAATACATAAATAAATACATAGAAAAAAATAAAACTTTGAAAAAGAATGAAAAAAATAAACAAATGGGTCTACATCAAATTAAAAAGTCACCACACATCAAAGGAAACCAACAAAATGAAAAGGCAATCTATGGAAGGGGAGCAAATATTTGCAAGCCATATATATTACTGTAAAAAGGCTTAATATCTAGAATATATAAGGAACTCATGCAACTAAATAGCAAAATAACAAATAACCTGATTTTAAAATGGGCAAAGAAATAAAAAATGAATAGACATTTTTCCAAATAAGACATACAAATGAACAACGGGTACATGAAAAGGTGTTCAACATCACTCATCATCAGGGAAATGCAAATTAAAATCATATGAGATATCACCTCATACCTGTGAAAATGTGTATTAAGAGAAAATAAGCACTGATCAGGATGTGGAGAGAGGGAACCCTCATGCACTGTTGGTGGGTATGTAAATTGATATAGCAACTATGGAAAACAGTATGTAGGTTTCTAAAAAAAATTAAAAATATAAGTACCATATGATCCAGCAATCCCACTTTCAGGTATATATCCAAAGGAAACAAAATCAGTATCTCAAAAAGATATCTGCACTCCCATGGTCTTTGCAGCATTATTCACAATAGCCAAGATATCGAAAAAGTCTAAGTGTCCGTCAATGGATGAATGGATAAAGAAATTGTGATATACATACAAAATGGAATATTATTCAGGCATTAAAAAAAAGAAGGAAAACCTGCCATTTGTGACAACATTGATGAATCTGTAAGACACTATGGTAAATGAAACAAGCCAGACACAGAAAGAAAAATATTTCATGACCCCATTTATACATGAAATCAAAACAAACAAAAACAACCCCTCATAGTAACTGAGAGTAGAATGGTGATTACTAGGGGCCAAACAGAGGGGGTCACAGGAAGTTATTGTTTAATGCATACAGTTTCAGTTTTGCAAGATGAAAAGAGCTCTGTAGTGGAAGGCAGTGATGGTTACACAATATAAATGTACTTAACACCACTGAACTGTACACTTAAAAATGCTTAAGATAGTATACTTTATGTTCATTTTCCAATTAAAAAATTAGAAAAAGTGTGTATATAAATATATATATGTGTGTGTGTGTGTGTATATATATAGCAAAACATGAGAAAGTATATTTTATAATGTTACTAATGCTTATGCATCAGAGTAACATTACACATAATTTATTTTCCTATGTACTTTTCATACTTCTTTAAATGTTCCACAATACTTTCAAAATCAGCTAAAACACAATGAATGTTATTTTTCAAAACTCACAAAATAAGAAAATGTATTACCAAATAATACATATGGTATTATTTAATTTCTAAAGAATAATATGTATAACTATGAAAAAATAAGAAGGTAAACAAAAATATGTTGACAAGAGTTATCTCAGGGAAACAGGATTATGATGACTTTTATTTTCTTTTTGTATGCCTTCATTTTTAAATTTTCATTATTTATGCCATTACTTTTGTAATATAAATGTACTTATTTAAAAAACACAGTAAGATATAAATACTACATATGAAAATATTAATGACCCAGTCAATGCTGTACATAAAGGACAATTCACAGACATAAACGCCTACGATAAATAATGCTTTCCAATGCTTTTTTCTTTTTTTTTTGCGTTACGCGGGCCTCTCACTGTTGTGGCCTCTCCCGTTGCAGAGCACAGGCTTCAGACGCGCAGGCTCAGCGGCCATGGCTCACGGGCCTAGGCGCTCCGCGGCATGTGGGATCTTCCCGGACCAGGGCACAAACCTTTGTCCCCTGCATCGGCAGGCGGACTCTCAACTACTGCGCCACCAGGGAAGCCCTCCAATGCTCTTTATAACTACTTAAGGCACTATATCTAGACTAATATTGCTGCCTGGATTATCATATTCAAGATCAAACAACCAATATAACTTTAAATATTTTATTATTAAAATGATTGTTAATAATAATGAATAGTAATTATCAGTTTATCTTGTTTTATTAATATTATTAGTAGCTTATAATTAAAATATTAAGCAATATTTTATGCTTAGCAGTTTCCACAGAATACGTACATTATGTTCTTCCTTAGCTGCTGCTTCTAACTGAGCTGCAAGTTGTGAACAACATACCAAGAATGAATTCAGATCATTCTCAACCTTATGAAAAAAAGAGAAAGTTACTTTTATTTCAGAATTCATATGCATATCCATCTATATTTTAGAATATTTAACTACTTTTGAAAATAGTTTTGTGTATGTAATTTCTGTCCCTTGAAATGCATAAAATGAGAAACCATGTTCCAAATGCTATACCAGCAAATTTTCCCAGAAAGAAAGTACATTCTGGGTAGTGGCTCAGTAATGACATATACCCAGCTATGTCTCTCTTCACATTCTCCTCTACACAGGTGTAGAAAATCAAGCATTCCAGCCTTAGCCTTCTGAAATTTAGGGGTAGCAGAAAAAGTACACACTTAAATATACGTTAAATAATGCTTTCTGTTAAAAAATGAATGCTAATTATGACTTCTGATTATAACTATACTTGCCAAGAGATAATAGTCTTTCACCTTTACTTAATGAGCAATAGAAAATTTTGAGGAAAAAAAGTTACATATTAAAATGTCACAATGACTGAATCTCTTTTAGTAGAGCAGTAATCTGTAAATCCGAGAACTGACCAAAGATAAATAAACCTCAGATGCTTATATACAGTTAGAATTCTGACAGAATGTTCTCCAGGACAAATATGATCCCTCAACATTACATTTTACACATACTCAGAGGTTCATATTTTTTTATCATGGTAAAACCTATAATCATATAAGAGACAGAGGGGGAAACTAAAATAGTCATTCAGGAGAGTGGGAAAATGAATTAACTAGAGTTACTAATCACAAATATAAAGTGAGACCATTAGCAGACTTGGGGATTTTCTTCCACCCACATTCAGGTGCCACAAATAGACGATGAACATCAATTTGATCAAGATACATATTCTTTTCAAGTGCACACAGAACATTATCCAGGATAGATCACATGCAGGGCCACAAAGCAAGCCTTGCTAAATATAAGAAAACTGAAATATCAAGCATCCTTTCTGACCACAACACTATGAGGCTAAAAATCAACTACAAGAAAAAACTGCAAAAAATACAAACACATGGATGCTAAACGATATGCTGCTAAACAACCAATGGCTCAATGAAGAAATCAAAGAAGAAATCAAAATATACCTAGAGACAAATGAAAATGAAAGCATGATAATCCAAAACCTATGGGATGCAGCAGAAGCAGTTCTACAGAGGGAAGTTTACAGCAAGTTCCAGCTTACCTCTGGAAACAAGAAAAATCTCAAACAACCTAACCTCACGCCTAAAGCAACAAGAATAAAGAACAAACAAAAGCAAAAGTTAGTAGAAGAAAAGAAATCATAAAGATCAGAGCTGAAATAAATGAAATAGAGATTAAAAAATCAATAGAAAAGACCACTGAAATCTAATTCTTTGAAAAAACAAACAAAATTGATAAAACTTTAGCCAGACTCAAGAAAAGAAGGGAGAGGGCCCAAATCAATAAAATCAGAAATGAAAAAGGAAAAGTTACATCCAACACCACAGAAATACAAAGGATCATGAAACTACTACAAGCAACTATAAGCCAATAAAATGGACAATCCAGAAGATATGGACAAATTCTTGAACCAAGAACAAAGAGAAAATATGAACAGACCAATTATCAGAACTGAAATTGAAAGAGTAACTTAAAAACTCCCAAAAAACAAAAGTCCAGGACCAGATGACTTCACAGGTGACTTCTACCAAACATTTAGAGAAGAGTTAACACCTATCCTTCCGAAAATATTCCAAAAAACTGGAGAGGAAGGAAGACTTCTGAACTCATTCTATGAGGCTACCATCACCCTGATACCAAAACCAGACAAAGATACCACAAAAAAAGAAAATTACAGCCCCATATCACTGATGAACATAGATGCAAAAATCCTCAAAATACGAGCAAACCTACTCAACAATACATTAAAAGGTTCATACAATATGACCAAGTGGGATTTATCCCAGGGATGCAAGGATTTTTCAATATCCACAAATCAATCAATGTGATACACAACATTAACAAATTGAAGAATATAAACCATATGATCATCTCAATAGATGCAGAAAAAACTTCTGATAAAATTCAACATCCATTTATGATTAAAAAAAAACTCTTTAGAAAGTAAGAATAGAGGGAACATACCCTCAACATAATAAAGGCCATATATGACCAACCCACAGCTAACATTATACTCAACTGTGAGAATGCCCACCCTCGCCACTTTTACTCAACATAGTTTTGGAAGTCCTAGTCACAGCACTCAGAGAAGAAAAAGAAAAGGAATCCAAATTAGAAAAGAAGAAGTAAAACTGTCACTGTTTTCAGATGACATGATAGTATACATAGAAAATCCTAAAGACACTACCAGAAAACTACTGAAGCTCAGCAATGAATTCAGTAAAGTTGCAGGATACAAAATTAATATACAGAAATCTGTCGCATTTGTATACACTAACAACAAAAGATCAGAAAGAGAAATTAAGGAAACAACCCCATCACATCAAAAAATAGAATAAAATAAAGTACCTAGGAATAAACCTACCTAAGGAAACAAAAGACCTGTTCTCCAAAAACTATAAGATGCTAATGAAAGAAACTGAAGGTGACACAAACAGATGGAAAGATATACTGTGTTCTTGGATTGGAAGACTCAATAGTGTTGAAATGACCATACTACCCAAGGCAATCTATGCTTTCAATGCAATTCCTATCAAATTACCAATGCCATTCTTCACAGAACTAGAGCAAAAAAATTTAAAAATCTGTATAGAAACAAAAAAGACCCCGAAGAGCCAAAACAATCCTGAGAAAGAAGAATGGAGCTTGAGAAATCACTCTCCCTGACTTCAGACTATACTATAAACCTACAGTAATCAAAACAGTATGGTACTGGCACAAAAAGAGACATATAGATTAATGGACCAGGACAGAAAGCCCAGAAATAAACCCAAGCACATATGGTCAAATAATATACAACAAAGGAGGCAAGAATATACAATGGAGAAAAGACAGCCTCTTCAATAAGTGGTGCTGGGAAAACTGGACAGCTACATGTGAAAGGATGAAATTAGAACACTCCCTAACACCGTAACACAAAAATAAACTCAAAATGGATTAAAGACCTAAATGTAAAGGCAGACATTATAAAACTCTAGAGGAAAATACAGGCAGAACACACTTTGACATAAAACATAGCAATAATTTTTTGGATCCCTCTCCTAGAGTAAAGGAAACAAAAACAAAACTAAACAAATGGGACATAATTAAACTTAAAAGCTTTCACACAGTAAAGGAAACCATCAACAAAACAAACTTACAGACTGGGAGAAAATATTTGCAAATGATGCTACCAACAAGGGATTAATTTCCAAAATTCACAAACAGCTCATGTGGCTTAATATCAGAAAAACAAACAACCCAATCAAAAAATGGGCTGAAAACCTAAATAGACATTTCTCCAAAGAAGACATACAGATAGGCATATGAAAAAGAAGACATACAGGCACATGAAAATATACTCAATATCGCTAACTATTAGAGAAACACAAATCAAAACTATAATGAGATATCACCTCACACTAGTCAGAATGGACATCATTAAAAAGTCTACAGACAACATATGCTGGCGAGGTTGTGGAGCAAAAGAAACCCCCCTACCTTGTTGGTGGAAATGTAAATTGGTGCAGCCACCATGGAGAACAGTATGGAGTTTCCTCAAAAAACTAAAAATAGAGTTACCATATGATACGGCAATCCCACTCCTGGGCATATGTCCAGAGAAAACTCTTAATTCAAAAAGATATGTGGGGGCTTCCCTGGTGGCGCAGTGGTTGAGAGTCCACCTGCCGATGCAGGGGACACGGGTTCGTGCCCCAGTCCGGGAAGATCCCACATGCCGCGAAGCGGCTAGGCCCGTGAGCCATGGCCGCTGAGCCTGCGCGTCCGGAGCCTGTGCTCCGCAACGGGAGAGGCCACAACAGTGAGAGGCCCGCGTAGAAAAAAAAAAAAAAAAGATATGTGGGGTGGGGACTTCCCTGGCAATCCAGTGGTTAAGAATCCATGCTCCCATTGCAGAGGGCACAGGTTCGGTCCCTGGTCAGGGAATTAAGATCCCACAAGCAGCACGGCACATCCAAAAAAAAAAAAAAGAGAAAGAGAGAGACAAGGAAATAAAAACATTCAGATTGGACAAGAAGAAGTAAAACTGTCCTTATTTGAAGATGACATAACTGTCTATGTATAAAACCCCAAAACATCTACAGAAAGATTCCTAGAATAAAGAAGTACATTGAACAAGGTTGCAAGATGTATGATCAACACACGAAAATCAATCATATTTCTATATACTAATAACAAACAGGTGGAAACTGAAATTAAAAATATAATGCCATTAAAAATCATTCCAAAAAACATGAAATATTAATGTATAAATCTGAAAAACAATATACAGGATCTTTATGATGAAAATTACAGAATGCTGAAGAAAGAAATCAAACAGGACAATGAAATCAATCAAATATATGGAGAAACATACTATGTTTATGGTTTGAAAGACCCAACATAGGTATTTTATTACATGAAGCCAAACTCAATCCATAACTAAAATGACCAACGAGTACAGTGTATTATAGTCGACTATTAAGAAATATGTAAAAATAATTCGTCTCATCAATAGACTGAAGGTGAAGCACATAATCACCTTAATAGTTATATCATTTCAATATACACAACACAGACATTTACTAAAACTCAGTAATCTTTTCAATGTTGGGGGTTTTTTATTTAGCAAACCATAAATAGAAGAATACTTTCTTAACATAATAAAGAATATACATTGCAAACCAACAGCCAACCACAAGCTTACATATTAAACAAGAGATGCATTAGCATCAAAAGTAGGCTCAAGATATAGATATGCGGTGGTGTGATGATTTGGGAGATTGGGATTGACATGTATACACTGATGTGTATAAAATGGATGACTAACAAGAATAAAAAATAATAATAATAAATAAATAAAATGTTTAAGAACATATACAAATGCATGAAAACAAATTTAAAATTGAAATCCAATAAATACTTCAGTAATAAAAAAAAAGATATAGACATGCCTTAATTAAACTTTAAGATAAGTGTTGGCAGAGAATGGAAAAATCAGTACACTACTTTCAAGTTTCCTAGGAGGATCATTTTCATGGATGGGGGATTCATCTGAGAACATATACAGACTCTAAAAGAAAATCTTAGCCCTTTTCAGCATTAATGTCTCTACATTAGCATTACATATACTTACAGGAAAGGTTAATCCTTCATGTTCAGGTTTCACAACTGGTTCTTCTCCACTTGGAATGCTAAATCCATAGGTTTCTTCCAAAGTAGAAACAACCTATGAGAAAAATCAAAGCAAATTATGTACTTATATAGGGTAAAAATATTACATTAAATCTAAAAAGATATTTAATCAACTATGTCAGAACCATTTTAGCAGTAAGACTTACTTCTACCAGTACCATAAACTTAAATTTTCCATCTCATGCCCCACCTCGTATCATCCTGAAGAAGGAGTATGAGCAATAGGCCTTGATCCCTCCCTAGCAATGAAGATAGGCCCTATGACTCTTCCATTTCTGTGTTGAAGGGAGTCTATGAACAGCTGAAGCATCAACTCTACTTACCATCAAAGTTTACCTCAAAATCTAATTGACTTGGCTTTCCTCTTTGAAGAGAGTGGGGAAAATAGGGAGATAGAGACCAGAAAGCAATACATTTTTAAAGGAAATTCTCTGAGCTAACCCCCTGAACTTTGGGCAAACTTGTATTTTGGAAGTTTGATGAACTATATTTTTTTTGTATATTTGTGCTATTCCTCATTGTTCTCACTTGGTATTTGGTACATTTACAACTCAATTCTGGATCACTGTGCAAGGAACTCAGAAAAAAGGAAGATATTTTTTCCCCAACACTAACAGCTAGAGTTTCTAAAGTGCAGAGAAGAGCTACAGAGCAGGCATGAGACTGAGAAAAGCCTATCCTTAGAAAGATCTGCTTGTGTCTCAGAACTTGGATTTCAGGAGGGTTCCCACTATTCATTGACTGATGACAGTGGCTCACTGTCCCTAAACTCATTGTACCAACTATATGATTTATGCTGAACACATGCTTTCCTTCAGGGAGTCTGGAATTTTGGTACATGCTAGGCAGACAGTCCTTAGGTGACCAATCTCCAATAAAACCCTGGGCACTGAATCTCTAGTGAACTCCTCTGGTAGGTATTTCACATGTGCTGTAACAACTTGTTGAAGGAATTAAGCAAGTCCTGTGTGACTCTAAAGGGAAAGAAATCTTGGAAACTTGCACCTGGTTTCCTCGAGACTTCACCCCATGTGCCTTTTCCTTTTGCTGATTTTGCTTTTAATCCTTTCACTATAATATATCTTGGCCATCAATATGACTATATACTGAGTCCAGTGAGTCCTCAAAGGAAATCACTAAACCTGACGATGGTCATGGGGACCCCCAACCCAGGCACCAACAAGTATCTTACCATCTTCAGATGTTTGGTAATTTTCCTGATCAATTCATCTTCTGCTATTAACTCCTTTGTCTTACTTGATGGAATGGGCAAAGCATACCTTATGATGGATTCCCCTGTTGGTGGAGATCTTAAGACCACTGGTTCAAGTTTATCACGTACTAATTTTGCACTACGTTTTTCCTTTGGTTTAGGTGACAATGGTGAATTAAATACTCCTTTTTTATATGTTAATTCTGGAACATTTGCCAATTTACTACTAGATGCCAACAGATGCTTTACTGGCTTCATTTTGTTATTTACTTAGCTTCTGAATTATAGATGAAAAAATTTTATTCCTCCCTGTAAATAAAACATTAAGATTTCAGATTAAAAATGATGGCAGATTAAAAAGAATGAAATAATGCCATTTGCAGCAACGTGAATGGACCTGGAGATTATCATACTAAGTGAAGCAAGTCAGACAGAGAAAGACAAATATCATATGATATCGCTTATATGGGGAAACTATTATTTTTAAAAAGATACAAATGAACTTATTTACAAGACAGAAACAGACTCCTAGACTTAGAATAACAAACTTATGGTTACCAAAGGGGAAAGGTGGGCGGGGGGGAGGGTAGATAAATTTTGGGATTCACATATACACACTACTATATTTAAAATAGATAACCAGGGACTTCCCTGGTGGTCCAGTGGGTAAGACTCCGTGCTCCTAATGCAGGGGGCCTGGGTTCGATCCCTGGTGGGGGAACTAGATCCCACATGCATGCCGCAACTAAGAGTTCGCATGCCACAACTAAGAAGTCTGCATGCCACAACTAAAGATCCCGCATGCGGCAACTAAGCCCCAGTGCAGCCAAAATAAATGAATAAGTAAAAGAGATAGCCAACAAGAACCTACTGTATAGCAAAGGGAACTCTACTCAATATTCTGTAATAACCTAAATGGGAAAAGAATCTGAAAAAGAATAGATATATGTACATAAAACTGAATCACTGTGGTGTACACCTGAAACTAACACAACATTGTAAATCAACTATACTTCAATATAAAATAAAAATTTTAAAAAAGAAAAAAAAATGATAGCCAGACTATCAATTGCCATGAAGATGGTGAATCCCAAAATCAACTCTGGAGAAATTACAAAATGGAGAGGGAAACATTCCTAACAACAAAGAAAAAAAGAACAAACCTATGAGAAACCCCTAGACGTGTGATTTATGTGTGGGCATTCAGGACAGGAGCTGAAGGGAGGGAAGAAGACAGTGGCAGTAGTGAAAGAACGTATTTAGAAAACTTTAAAATTTTATTTTTACCTTTCCCCACCATTCTTGAGCTAATATAGGCCCTTTATATATACCACTATTTCCATAGGCAGTAATGGCCTATTATTTGCTGATCCCAGGGTATCAGCAGAGTAATACCAGGGCAGCACCAATGTCATGCTAGAATAAGGAAGTATAGACTGGGTAGGACTTATTAAGCTTTCATTCTCCTACTTCTCTCTTTCCAAAGCTGATTAAGACTCAGAACAATTCCTCCTCCCATGGGAATTGTCTGATAGACTGGCAAAATTAAGATAGAATAGCATTGGTTCTCTGTTGTCTGCAGTGCTCCACACATAGACTAGTCCCATTGTTGTGGGTTGAACTGTGTCCCCCAAATAGATATGTTCAAGTCCTAACCCCTGGTACCTGGGAATATGACCGTATTTGAAAATACAGTCTTTGCAGATGTGATCAAGTTAAAATGAGGTCATATTGGAATAGGGTGGGCCCTAAATCCAATGACTGGCGTCATTATAAGAAAGCCATGTGATAACACTTGTACACAGACGTACAGGGAAGAAGGCCACGAAATGACAAGGGCAGAGATTGGAGGGGTGCAGCTGCAAACCAAGGAATGGTAAGGATTGCCAGCACCCACCAGAAGCTGGGAAAAACCTTCAGGGGGAGCACAGCCCTACCAACACCTTGATTTCAGACTCCTAGACTCCAGAATTGTTAGATAATAAATTTCTCTCACAATAAATTGTTTTAGGCCACCCTTTTTGTGGTACGTTGTTACGGCAGCCCTAGGAAACTAATTTGCTGATGGAAATGATTCAGTAGAAAGCAAAAAGTATGACTGGGAGAGAGGGAATTGCTGTGATGATACCCTTGAGTAAACAAGAAGAAATGGGTTTTAAGGCACGAATGGGCCAACTCACTTTAGACAGGAACAGGGAAACTTTACCTAAGGCAGCAGACAGGAAGGCAGAGATGTGGGGTACTTCAAGAAACCAACAGAAAAGGATGGGGCACTCACCAGGTGCTAGAAAACGGCCTAATAAATGGATCCATGAAAGTTCACAGAAACTTAAAAAAAAAAAAAGTTACATGCAGTGAACACTTATTAAAAAATACTTAAGGATTTTACACATTTGCTCCATTTAACTCTCCTAACAATGCCAGGAGGTGAATACTCTATCACCATAAAATTACCCAAGTTTATCAGTCACTTTCCACCACGAAGACAAACGTTTTCTGGTTTCCCTTCAAGGATTAGCTTGATATCCATTTCAAGCCCTTTAACGACACATTATAGAAAACTGTGGGGGTGGGAGGCATAGGGTTTACGGTCCTTAAATTCTCCATCAAGACAAGAGAAGCTCAGCCGCAGCTGAGACAGTCACGCGGGGGGCGGGGGTGCGGAATGAAGAGAGAAGCAAGGATGCTTTGGCCAGGGAATCTGTGAACACGCTCACAGCTGACGAGGTAAGTCCCCCACCACTCGGTATACCTGCCGAGGCTGCTGGCAGTCAGGCTACTGGGTGGTTTGGCCCTGGCGAGGCTGGCTCTAAGGTGAAAACGCTGGAAATTCTGAGCCTCCCAGACTTCCTTCAAGACGGAAGCCTGCAAATCCTGCAGACTCCAGCCCTGCTGCTTTACAAACGGACATTTGTGCCGCCAGAAAACGCCGGGCTTCAGCGTCCCCGGGCGGCCGCAGCGAGGATAAGACGCCAGCCGCCGGACGGCCGTTGATGCCACGTCACGACGCCGACGTCCTACGTCAGACGCCGCGGGCGGGAGCCGCCCATCCCACGCGCGCGGGGAGAGGGGCGAGGGCTTCCGGCAACGGCGGGGCCTTCGAGGGGCTGCGCGCCTCCACCGCGCCCTCGGTATCCTATGCGATTACTTCCAGACGCCTCACACGCGGAGATGCTTACAGGCTTTTGGCCTCGAGAAATAACGTCCCGTTTAGTGCTATAAGAGCTTGGGCTACACCGACAAAGCCTGAGCCCCAGGCCCTCCTCTGACACCGTCTAAATGTTTCACTGCGAGGTGTTGTGGAGTCAAAATTTTTTTTTTTAGACTATTAAATATTTTGTTGTTGTCGAACTATATTTGATTTACAATGTGTTAATTTCTGGTGTACAACAAAGTGATTCAGGTACATATGTTAAATACCATGTCGTACCATGAACATGTACCGCTTACATTATTCTTCGAGGGATAATAGGAAGATTTCTGCTTCCAACCAAAATGGTGTAACAGGGACTGGGTTTATCCTCCTAGCTCACCAACTAAAAAATCAGACAAAATATAAGAAACAATGAATTTCAAGATATTGGCTATCAGGCAATTAATGACAGTGATCCCTGGGTAACAGGAAACAAACAAGATGAGCCCTGTGATTTCCTAAACTTACTTTCTGAAGAGAGGAGTTTCCAAATCATAATGCAAAGAGGGGGGAACCCAGGGAGACCCCAGAAGTCTCCCTGAGTTGAAGAAAAGATGTCCAGTAAGGCCAAGGAAATTCGAGTTAAGAGGAGGGAATACTAAAGAAGAGATTGAAAAAGAGTGAGAGACCTCCATAAATTCTCAGAGGGACCCCCTTCAAGTCCACAGCGGATTAATGTCACCGTATGCATGTATGGGCACATACATGCTAGGCTAGGGAAAGAGCCACCTAAAAGCATCAAAGGGTACAATACTCACAGCTCACAAAGAGCTGGAAATATTTTATATTCTCACCAGCTAGAGTGAAAAGCTTTATAATTTATGGGTACTCCCTAAGTACTCACAAGGATTTTGCCACAGGAGGTGGTCAAAACTAGTTTTACACTAAACACTTCTCTGGACCTGACAAATGAATCTTCAAAGTAATACCTGAAAGAATCAAACATTTCCAATAACTTGACTGAGACCCAGAACAGAGCTCAAGAATATTTTATACGCATATCAAAACATCCAGCACCCAACAAGGTAAAAATCACACCGTCAAGTATCCAATCAAAAGTTGCAGGGGGGGCTTCCCTGGTGGCGCAGTGGTTGAGAATCTGCCTGCTAATGCAGGGGACACGGGTTCGAGCCCTGGTCTGGGAAGATCCCACATGCTGCAGAGCAACTAGGCCCGTGAGCCACAACTACTGAGCCTGTGCGTCTGGAGCCTGTGCTCCGCAACAAGAGAGGCCGCAATAGTGAGAGGCCAGCGCACCGCGATGGAGTGGACCCCGCTTGCCACAACTAGAGAAAGCCCTCGCACAGAAACGAAGACCCAACACAGCAAAAAAAAAAAAAAAAAAAAAAGTTGCAGGGGAATTCCCTGGCAGTCCAGTGGTTAGGACTCTGCACTTCCACTGCAGGGGACACAGGTTCGATCCCTGGTCTGGGAAGTAAGATCCCACATGCTGTGCAGCACAACCAAAAAAATAAAAAGTTGCAAATCATGCAAAGAAAGGGGAAAATACAATATACTAATGTAATGGGATAAAAATCAATCAGTCAAAATGACCCCAGTCATGACAGATGATAGCATTGGTAGACAGGACAAAAAAATTACTACAACTGTATTCCATATATTCAAGAATCTAGAGGAAAGACTGAACATGTTAAGTGGAGACATAGAAGATATGACAGCACTCAAATCAACGTTCCAGAAATGAAAATGTCTGAGAAGAAAAAATGCACTGGCTAAGAGAAACAGTAAGTTAGCAATCACAGAAGAAAAGATTCATGAACCTAATAGTAAAGAGAAACCACCCAGAAAGAAAGATACAGAAAAGATTCTGTGGGGGGGAAAAATTCAGGATTTCTGTGAGCCATAGAACAACTTCAAATGACATAATATACATGCATGTGGGTTCCTAACTATTTTTCTAAGTATGATGAAATGTATAACTCCACAGATCTGAGAGGCTCAGTGAACACCAAGCACAGGAAGCATGACACATCATAATCAAATTGCTTAAAAGCAGTGAAAAAAAGAAAATCTTTAAATAAACCGTAAGGATAAAAAGGCACATTACAAAAATAAAGACAAAGATGACCACAGAGTTTTTTTCCAAAACAGTACAAGACAACGTTATGCTAAGTGAGATAAGCCAGATAGACAGAGACAAGTATTGTACGGTATCATTTACATATAGAATCTAAAAAAGTCAAACTTTTAAAGAAACAGTAAAATCATGGTTACCAGAGGATAGGGGAATAGTTTGATGCTGTTTAAGGGTACAAACTTAGTAGTAGATAAGCCATAGAGATCTAATGCACAGTATAATGAATACAGACAATAATATTATGATTATATAACATGATAGAGGTGCTAAATATTGCCACAGTGGCAATTATGTTACAATATATAAATGTTTCAAAACTTTATTTATTTACTTTTTTGGCCTTTCCCCACGTCTTATGGGATCTTAGTTCCCAGACCAGGGATTGGACCCAAGCCCTAGCAGTGAGAGCACAGAGTCCTAACCACTGGACCGCAAGGCAATTCCCTCAAAAATTTTAAAATGCAATACTGGAGACGACAGCGCAACATTATTAAAGTACTGAAAGAAAAAAATGGTTAATCTAGAATTCTTTAGCCAGAATAATTATCTTTCAGAAAACGAGGTGAAACAGAGAATTTGTCAGACACACAAAAGCTGAAAGAATTAATCAACAGCATACCTGCACTAAATAAATATTGAAGGAAGTCTTTCAACCAGAAGAATGATACCAGTTGCAAATCTAGATCTGTCAAAGAATTGAAGAGCACTAAAAATGGAAACTATGTGAGTATACATAAAGATATTTTTCTTATTTAAATCCTCAAAGGTAATTGTTTAAAGAAAAATCAGTAACAATGTGATGAAGGATTTTGAACATAGGTGAAAGTAAAATGTATAACAATAATAGCACAAAAGCCAATTGGGAGAAATGGAAATATAACATTGTAAAGTTCTTATTCTATATGTGAACTGTTATAATACCCCTTGAAAGCAGTCTGTGATGTAGGCTGGATAATGGCCCCCAAAGATAAAAGTCTTAAACTCTAGAGCCTGTGAACATTCATTACCTTTTACGGCAAAGACTCAGCAGATGTGATTAAGGATTTTGATATGAGGAGATCTGAGATAATCTGGGCGTCACAAGTGTCCTTATAAGAAAGAGGCAGAGGGGGACTTCCCTGGCGGTCCAGTGGTTAAGACTCCAGGCTTCCACTGTAGGGGGCACGGGTTTGATCCCTGTTCAGGGAACTAAGATCCTGCGTGGCACAGCCAGAAAAAAAAAAAGAGGCAGAGGGAGATTTGACGTAGAAAAAGAGAATGCAGTATTACCAGGGAGGCAAAAGACGGGAGTGACATGGTCATAAGTCAAGGAATGTCAGCAGCCACCAGGAGCTGGAAGAGGAAAGAAGCAAATTCCCTTCTAGAGCTTCTGGAGGGAGTGTAACCCTGCCAACACTTTGACTTTAGCTCAATGAAATATTTCACATTTCATGAGAGAATATATTTATTTTGTTTTAAGCCACCAAGTAATAATTTGTAACAGAAGTCATAAGAAACTAATACATGTAATAAGTTAAAGATGTATGCTCTAAAACCTAAAGTGAACCATAAAACGGAAAAGAGTTGTAGCCAGTGACTCAAAAATAAAAAGGAGCTAAAATGGAATTTTAAAGATATCCATGGGAGGTGAAGAAGCTGGGGCCATTTGCTTCTATTTCCAATACACAGAAGTACGATTAAGAGAATAGCAATCAAACTGCAATCAAAGCTGTGTATCAGATAGCAACCCAGGAATCAGTTAAATTCAAGGATCTTGCAATAGTTTGGGAGAGCTGCACTAAGGCATTTTCCTCTGTGAGGAAGAGTCTTGGAGCTGTTCTAAAAGACAAAAGAATATTAATGTCCCTTCATTTCCCTGTACTTCCCAGTGTTTAAGGTGCTCCCTCCCCAGGTGCTTGTTTTTTCTATCCTTCCATTGCCACAAAATAAATGTGTCCCATTCCAGGAACTAAAACTATTGATATTTCTTTCCAATGATACTTTACTTTCACCCAAACTTTTCATCTGGAAGAATCAGTCAGGAGCAAGAGGGACAAGAGGATTTTCATAAAACTTATAAAGACCCATTATGTCCCCATCTTTCAGCCTGTGGGGGCCAGTACAGGGGAGAGTATAGGTGCAACGCAGGGCAATAAGTGCCCCAATGCTATACAGTGCTTCACCTGCGATTTCCCATGTGATTTTCTCTATCTCAGGAACTTTCACTAAGAGGGCCAGAGAGTGCCTTTACGGTCAAAACCCACTTCAAGAAAACTCTGACTTTTTACTGTCATCTCTGAAAGGATATAAGATTGGCTTGATAGAATTCAGAAGAAGTTGAGCTGTAAGAGGGCCAAGCTATTCCCATCCCTCCTTAACAAATGTGTGTGCCTTCCCCTTATCTCCCAAGCTAACCAGCCAAAGTTCTATAGATTTGCAAGATTTCTGCCCACAGCAGACATAAATTTCCCTCTTTTTGCATTTAGCATTGGTGAGTGTCTCTGTAATTGTTGTATGAAAAGGATCAGAACTTTCCTCTAACCCACGGTGGATCTTAGCATTGGTTGTTATCATCGGATGGGTGTGAGGCTGACCATCAGATCGACCCTCTAGCCCTCACCCCAAGGAGATAACAAGAATCAAGTCATGAACCTGCCTCCCAGCACTCAGCCTGCAGCCATCTCCCTAATTCCTCCTCAGTGACAGAGAATGGAGTGGAGGATTATTTATTGCTGGATTGAATAATATGGCTGTTATTAAATCCAAGGACTTCCCTCAAATCATGTTAAGTGAACTAAATGGACTGTGGAGAGGCTCTTGTATTTCCTGTTCCAGGAAGCCATGTTGTGTCAGTATTCCATCTTCGTCACTGAAACTGTCAAGAACTGTGAAGGGTCTACAGTTTTCCTTATTTGTTAGAAAACAAGTCAGCCTACCACAGTATCATAGACACTGGCAGAAGATATGAGACTCCTGGGCCAGAGACAAAGAACAGTTTATTAATCACAGCAATAGCAGCAGCCAGAGTAACAACATTTGTGCTGGTTCCCGAAGACCTGACTCCTGTAGAGCAAAGCAACAGTGGCCAGCTGATGCCTGTAGACTCAGTGAGCTGGGTTCCTTGAGAGGAGCCCTGTTTAGCAAACTCTGATCTTCCGCCCCCCCCCCCCGCCCCGGGAACTCACCTCCCTGAAGCTCAAGGAGGGCCCTGTTGGGGCCGATTTTGGCCCTAGTCTCACACCTTCCCATGAGCCATGGGGTAGAGTGACTAAACCCACTCAGCTCACGGCCCCACCCACGAGCTTCCCTCCA